AATTTTTAAAGCTTATGCCCCTCGTTAAACCTGCTGGTAGAAAGACATGGCTCACCAGGTCATCTGCTGTACTTCTATAATCTGACTGAGAGCGCAATATATCTCGGCTATCCTTTTTTTAAATGCTTATTACTATCATTTTTCTTTTTCACTATAGAATTCCAGGAAGACTTAATGACAGGCGAACTCCCCTTGGAGAACTCAATTGGATTTTTACAGCCATAACGGACACCATAGCTTGGAATGTATTACCAAGAGGTAAGCAATCTACTATAATCTTCGGTGGGCTGGTTAAGTCAGCTGCTTCCAGTTCATTGCCAATGCTGCTTCTGTATGAAGTGATTTGTTAGGAGTTGGCATGCTTGTTCCTCAATTGTAGTTACTGCACATATGGTTCATTCCATCTCACAGTGGGCAAGCATGAATTATATGTTGACTGATATCCACCCAGCATTTGCTCGAGTGAGGACTGTGGCTGTTGTCTTGTTAATGCTGATATCCATTACGGCAGTTTTGTGAGTTGTGAGTTATTTTCAGTTAACCTTCAATCATATATGATCTTAGAGTTGAACTTCACAAACAGTGAGCTGGCTAATAGGCACAATCTTCTTGGCTTCAGTATTTTCATTACTCTAGGCATCATCAGCTTGGTATTTCTCAGTAAATGAAATTGTAAACAATGGTATTCAAGTTGTACAATTAGCTTGCAAAAAGTCAGTTTACTGCTTTCACTCCTGTGATTTAAATAGTTTAATAACTATTTTAGGATGCCTGAAAAAGTTCAAGTGGCAAAACTGAAGAAATATTTTCCCTGTGCATTTGTTCAGCCTTTGGTTTTTAAGTGTTCTCATGGATCTTTGTACAGTTTATTTTTTAAGGTTTTACCACAATAAAGTTGATCATGTTAGTCGAAACATTTATGTAAATTTATTCTGCGTTAACATCAGTATAATTATGACTTTGTTTCCACAGATCTCTTCCAAAAATTATTTAGGCAAGACTTGTTGGTTGCCAGTTTATTCCGGAACTTTCTCTTGGCTGAAAGGATCATGAGGTCATATAACTGTACCCCTGTCAGTAGTCCTCGGCTGCCCCCAACATACATGCATGCTATGTGGTGAGTAAGCTGTAACTCTTCTGAAGTCCAAATGTTAAAGTTTCTGTCCAGTATTGTTGCCTAATTTGAAAGTGAACCACACTCTTGTAGACCTGAAAAGGTTGAACGTGCAAGTTGTTAACAAAAAAACACGCAATGTAGTTCAAGATCATGTGCGACTGATGTTTCAAAGTGAGTAAATCTGTCAGCTCCACGAGTGTCATACTCCAAATTTCATTGAGAATGTCCATTTATTGTTATCATACTCGCCTTCTAATTACATGCTAACAGCCAGGAGGTAGTTTAAGGAATCTCTCCTGTTTCTGTGGAGAATTTCAGCAACAGGCCTGAGACTGTGTCAAAATTGGAGAAGCAAGTGCCTGATGAACTGCCTAAATGGGGTGGGAAATCAATTGTAAAATGTCTCAATTAGGTGGTTTAACTCTTGACAGGTAATCTTGTATGCTGTCTCTAGCTATCTGCAGACTCGTCATTCTGCTGAACGCAGAACTGAGCTTCAAACCCAACGTCCTCTCCATTATCAAGAATACTTCCTTCCAGCGCAAAATGTGGCTGTCCTCTGTCTTTATCCTCGTTTCAATTATTGCTGAATCCATTCCTTTTCAGTCTTTGGGTATAATCATTGGCCTTCATGACAGTATTCCATGATCACTTCCCACAAGTCAATTCCAGTGTCCTAGAACGGTGATCTTGTCCAGCTGTGGCTTTAGGGTGTTCCATTGTTCCTTAATCGGCTTTTCCCGAGTCCAGGAGCCATTAACTGAACTGTGATGAACTTCGTCTTAATTTTACTTTTTTAAAATTATGTATGACTTCAGTCTTTAATATCGGCGCTATGGTTGGACAACTTAGAAAACTTCGTATTTTTTTCACGTAAAAGTACACAAGAAATAATATTCTGTTCCGTTCATCTTGCTGACCCGTAGTGACTCTCTGTCATGCGGCAAATGGAGCTTCAGTTGTCATCCCTGACTATACATACTCTCCAGCTTCACAAAGCACTACTTCTGCAGCCTTCTCCAACCTAGCTCTGATTGTCTTTGAAGTGCCTTGAGATATTTTTCTGTGTTAAAGATTTATAAAAATGCATGTAAACAAAGCAAATGTTCAGTATAAACTGGATTGATACTGTGCAAGCATATATTTGCAGTAGGCAGAGAGAAGACCTGAAATTCATCTATATAAAACAGATTAAAATTCAGGTCTCCCGGCTGGTGGCCAGTTTTCTGCCTAACGTAATGCATGATTTCATCAAATCTGTCACACCTCCATAGGGCTCTTGACAAGCTGAAAAGAGGACTGAAACAGGAGAAGTGGTAAATACATTTAGTCCAAATTTTTGTAATGTAATATGCTTATGGAGGAAGAACAAGAGAGAGATCTCAATTGAAAGATGCATATAAGTAAGTTTTGTCGGAATCTACTGTGCATAGTGCCATATGAGACAACCTGCTTATTCTGCTGTTGTCTATCCAGAACAAGACATCTGATTCTATCAAAGCATTATGTTGAATTGCATCCAGGAGTTTGTGGTTCTGCGCAGGCAGTGTTCATATATGTAGATCTTTGACATCCTTACCTCCTGAGTTGTTTGTGATTGATTTTTATCTCTGCATTGACACTATAATGAAAGGTACTTTGCATGTGAACAGGTCACTGGCCTGAATTGCAACCTTCTGTCAGGAGAGTCAGTGGGCTGCCTTCGGTCTCCCATATACCTTTCAACTTGTCTGTATTTAGTGGTTCTGCCAGGAGTTATGCTCCTGTCCATGTAGCCCTTAGATTCATGGAATCACACAAGCCTTGTGACCACCTCAATGTGCGATCAGGATTTGAGTGAAGATTTTGTAGCTCGGATGCTGGTTGTAGATGTTGGTGTGTTCGCCGAGCTGGGAGGTTTGATAGCAGACGTTTCGTCCCCTTACTAGGGCTGTAGAGCCTCTTGTGAAGTATTCAGAGGAGGCTGTACAGCACTGAGGATATCACCTAGTAAGCAGATGTTTCGTCTGCTATCAAACCTCCCAGCTCGACGAACCCATCAACATCTACAACTCAATGTGTGATACCGAGAGGAGGTAGCGGGGAACCTAGACAACCTAATACTTTGAAAATATGAATGCAGGCAGATGAAGTGATGGAAAAAGCTAGAAATACTTGACATTCTTGAATTTGATTTGTAGAGTGCTGTGGTAATAAGATTATGATAATCTTAAAAAAGGGAGTGTTTAAGACTTCCAGAACAGTAAGTGTGTTTGGGCCCTTCGTTATATAAAGGACATTAAAGCATACAGCAGGATTCGTCAAAATGATGCTAGGAATGAAAAACTCTCATTATAAGCAATAGCTTAAATTTTTTCCTTGAAGTAGTAAAGGCTAAAAGGACATTTAATGGAAGTTGTTTACAATTTATGAATGGCTCTGTTGGAGTAAATAGAGAATAATATTTTTCTAATTGGAGAATCAATAATGACAGCATTGGTGAATTAAGTTAACCTGAGGCAAGGCAACAACATTTTTGCCCAGTGCATTTAAGCAAAAATACTTTGTCATAATAAATAATTGAAGTAGAAATTATGGCTATTTTTGAGGCATAAATACTTGAATATTTGAAGCAGAAGAGAATGCAGGGTTTTGGGGAGACATTAGTACAATGACCGTAGTTTTGGATTCCTTTAACGAAGCTTTGGCACAGAGGTGATAGGCTGAATGGTCAGTACATGTTCTGGTCATTACACTTCAGTAATAACTAAAGGCACAAATCTGAGTTTTAAAAGATTTAAAAATCCATATTTAGTTAGAAACTTTTGACTGATTATGTGATACATGGGGTATATTTAACAAATCCCAAATGTACAACTCCTGAAACTGATCATGCTGAATAAAATTGTGATGTGCCTTAATTCCAAAAATGAACACGTGGACAACTGTATACATCTCTTCTAAGGATCATATACAGAATGAAAATTTAATTCTACACCATGGTTTTCTAATCCCTTCAAAATCCAGTTATCTGCTCCTAAGAATTGGTATTGAAATTTCCACAGAATTGTAGGTGGTCCTTTCATGTTGGAGGCTTCTTGTCTTTGTATTTCATTTGCTTGCATTTGAACAACTTAATAGAAAAGGCCAGATGGATATGTGATGCAAATCACAAACACAAATCTCAAATTATTTCTTCTTGTTCAGTGTCACATGGCATCCTCTATTGGTATTCTAGACACACATGAGCTGTTTGAAGTAACTGCAATTTGATGCCTGCAGTGCCAGCAAACAAAAATCATGCATTTTGACAAATCTTTGGTTTGGTGAATCTTCAGGATTTACATGTGTATTTGTCCTGTAGAGTTAAATTCTCTTTACAGAAGTAGTAAATAATAAGGCAAACTATTCTGTATGGAACACACTTTAAAATTTATTGGCTGGCTTGATGTCTTAATAACGGATTTGCTTTAACTGGAATTTTCCTAGGTTTATGTAAACAAGGCATTCAAAATGTCACTTGTAGAGAAAAATGGTGTTTTAAAGGTTTAGGAAAAGCTTTACTGAATTCTGATTTTAATTGAGATATCGTATCTGCGGATGGTATTTATGTGGGAAATGCTGTGATCTTTTCAATTTCCATCCTCATTTGAATTGGCATTGTGTATTTAATTTTTCCACAAGTTCCATTAAATCCTATCACAGCCTCCAAAATGGAAGCCTAGCTCTCCAGTGACAAATGTGATAAACCAAACCAATCAAAGATGCCAAGCTTGTGGTCCTACCTTCATAGAATCATAGAATCTCACAATGGGGGAAGAGGCAATTTGGCCCATCGAGCCTGTACCGATCCTCCAAAGTGCATCTCACCCAGACCCAGCTTCTGACCTTATTCTGGTAACCCCGCATTTACCTTGCCTGCACGTCGCTGGACACTATCGGGCAATTTACCACAGCTAATCCCGCTAATCTGCACATCTTTGGACTAGTGCTCATGGACAACTTTGTGCTAGTTAGCTAAGCTAAGCCGCGGAAAATTTCTGTGCCTATGGCCAGACAGAGGAAAGTCAACCAGGTTTCCTGCTGAGTGTCATTTAGTAATTATTACTGGAAGTATGGTTGATATCAGATGAACAGGAGATTACATTTGGCGATGATGCCAGAGCTGAATAACTTTATGGAAGCATTTGCCCATAAAGAAAGGGAGACGGTGTTTATGAACGACATGACTGCACGTTAGTGTATGTAACTGTGACATGTTTGTCATTAGCAGCAACTGCATTGCCCTGTTACTTGGTAATTTACTTTTACTCTGCGAAGTATCTTGTCAGGTAAATTACCATTTCATATAACCTGTGATTTTGACATTTTCTGTTCTATGTGAAAAATAAACACCTCCCATTTATATATTGTTTTTAATATGAAAACAGTCCCTTATAACTTTGTAATCAGGCAAAAATAGATACTGAACCAACGAAGTGAATAGTAGGTTTCTTGACAAGCTTGGCCATACAGGGCTACATCCTGGTGAATCTGTCTTGTAACTTCTCTGCAGCCTCAATATCCTTTTTTGTTTGAAAATAGCACTGTATTTTAGATCTTAATGTTTTGTATGTAGGTTCAGTAGGTACTGAGATTGCCAGTAGTTTGATTCAACCCAGTGGTAAGAGGTTTGTAGGGGAGGGTGGTGAAGACAATACTTTTGGTCATCCCAATGTTCAATTAGAGGAAATGGCAGCTTGTCCAAAACTAGTTGGGTAAGAAAAAATACTTGATGACAAGGGATTTAAGCACAGATATTTGGACGCTAAGGGACTCCAGTGATACGCAGTCAAAAGTCAACTGTATATATTGCACGGCTCAAGAGATCTCGCAGTCCTTTGTTATCTCTTATGTTCTTGGGCATGGATAGAAGAGGTGGTAGTTTGTTGAAGACTTTGGAGAGGGAAGGGAAGTTACCTGTCATAAGTGCAGAGGTGTTGAGACAAGTTAGTGGATGGGTTTTGGTGAAGGGTTGATGGTTTTGAAAAAATTTAAGCTTGAATCTTTTGCAGTGTCAGATGACAGATTTTTGGTGATAAAAAGGTGTAGGAGGGCTGATGGGAGGAACACTATTGAACATGCATCCCTTTTAAGTGCCTGCATTGCATATGTGAATCTAGAACAGTTTCAGAAATGTTAGAAATAGATGCTGGAATGGAAATTGCTGTGTCAATAGTGTTGCTGGCAACAAAATAAATATCAATGCATAGATCGAATCAACACAGTTTGTGAATATGTGCATCACTTTGCAGGCAAGCTTGGGACCTCGCAGTGGATATTTGCCTTTCGCAACTTCCTACCATCATTGAAGAGGGAACAGCTTTTCGGGTGAGTTGATCAATTTTTTTCCATTCCTTTTTTGTAGTAGGAAATTTGCAGTGCAACCTGTAGTGCCATTGCATGTTCTGATTAACACAATAAGGAATAACTAAAAACTTAACTTTAACTATAATTACTTTCAGCCATGGCTCAGTAGTAGTACTCATGGCCCCTGAGTTAGAGGTTGTGGATCTTGGAAAACATTGTGAGCAAAATTAAGCTGACACTCCATTTAGTACTGCCCAAGATGCTGAAATTTAAGAAAGTTGTTAAATGATGCCTGCCCTCTGAGGATGGTGTGAAAAGAAAATCCTATGGGATTGTTGAAAGGAGGGCAGGAGAGTTCTTCTGCTGTTCTGGTCAACATTTATTCCTCAGCCAGAATCTAAAACAGATGAAAGCAAAATACTGCAGATTCTGGAAATCTGAAACAAGCATAGAAAGTATTGGAAAAATCAGTAGGTATGGCAGCATCTGTGAAGGGCGAAACAGTTAACTTTTTGAGTCCAGTATGACGACTCTTCTATTTGACTGTAAGACATTGAAGTAAAAGTAGGCCAGTCAGCTCATCGAGTCTGTTCTACCATTCAGTAAGAGCATGACTGATCTGATGACCCTTAACTCCACTTTCATGCCTTTTTTTCCCATGCGCCTTGATACCCTTAATGATTAAAAATCTGTCTTTCAGCTTTAAGTATGCTTAATGACTTACCCTCAATAGCCCTTTGTGGTAAATAATTCCTCCTCATTATCCCTGCCTTAGGTCTGTGACCCCTTATTCTGTGATTGTGCCTTCTAGCCTTGGACCCTCCCATAAGGGAAACAACTTTCATACCTACCCTGTCAAACCCCCTAGGCACTTGTATGTTTCAGTAATGTTGCGTCATATTCTTCTAAATGTGGTAGGTAAAGGGCCACCCTACTCAGTGTTTCCTCATAAAACAATTCATCCGTACCCAAAGAATTCTGAAGAATAGTCAATCCAGAATTGAAGATTCATTCTGTTTCCCTCCCCACAGGTCTTGTCAGACTTTTGGAGTTCTCCAGCACTTCCTGTTTATGTCTAAAACAGATAACCTTGTTTATTTAGTTGCTGTTTGTGGGACTGTAATGTGTGCAAGTTAGCGGCCATGTTTCCTACATGATGAAATTGACTTCACTTAATAAGTATTTCTTTGGCTGTAAATTCCTGATTGTCTGCAAGCTGCTATATATATGCAAGTATTTTGTTTTTATTGAAGTTGTGTGTGTGACCCAGCATGCATTCCTGTCAATCTGTGATAATCCCAGGATGTGGTTTTCCATGTGCTCTCTTAATTGAAAGAGACAAAGATTAAGCTCTGCAAAATCTAGATTGTGAAAGGGTGATTTTATTTGTTTTCCTGATAAAGCTTTATACCTGTTTTTAATGCTGAATTGGACATCAAATTAATCCAGTATTCAATTCAACAGTTTGACAAGGCGTGACTGTGACTTTCACTGGAGCATCCGGTAGTAACCAAGCCCTTCCATGGTGCAGAGTTTTTAAACAAGTTTTGTCATTGTACTGTTCGTGGGTAAAGTTAGGAACAAATATAAATAATAAATATTTAGGAAAAGACATGTAACACATTCCACTTTAACTACGCATACGTTGATCAAGATGCACAGATGGTGTTAGGTAGGAGAAGAGTAAAATCCACTGTGTAGTTGTAACAGCAACACCTCATCTGATTCATCAGATTCTAGTGTAATCTGTGTAATATGCAACACCTGGGAGCAAAGCAATGTCTCCTCGTTTCCATTTCTTTTCTCATCCTGGGACGGAGGGAGAAAACTGTTCATCTGTAACAACTGAAGGGAAAGGAAGTGAATCAGGTGAGGGATAAGACTCTGGAAAGGTTGATTCAGAATATCTGAGAGTAAGCATTTGTATTTGGAAATCTTAAACCAAACTTCAACTGAAGATGTAAGTCATGAAGTTCATTGGGACCTGAATATTGAATCCATGTCCGCCATTGAATCCAGAAGGAGAAATCTGGGAGGAATCTAGAAGGAGACATTTTTTGTTTGTTCTGTCTTCTTCTAAAGTTTTAAATTAGTGAACTGACTGTGTAAAGAACTTTAACCAGTTACAAAGTCTGAAACATCATTGCACCATTCACAATGGGGAGATGGAAGGGATACCAGTGCCTGTCCAAGCTGGAAACCCATTGCCTCAGTCATGCTGCAGAGAGATCATTCACCTACTCCTGGTGTGGGAAGAGATTCACCAAGTTACCCAACCTGAAGTCTCACAAGACAGTTCACACCGGGGAGAGGTTGTTAATCTGCTGTGAATGTGAGAAGAGATTCACCTGGTCATCTTGCTTAATGACATGCTGACCAACTGACGGTGGGGTGGGGGGCAGCCATTCACCTGTTAGTGTGTGTGTCTGAGAGAGAAGAGATTTACAAGCCAGTTTCCTCTTTCCCTCACCCCTGTAGAACTGACCAATTCTATGATTTTGCTTTTAATCTATCGTTTCTTTTGTCCATTAATTGGGTGTAACTGCATTGTTCCTAATGGGGCTTGAAGTTTTCCATGAAATAATAGTGAATGTGCCAGAAATATAAAAATCGCACTCCAAAATGTTAGGTTTTCTTATTCCAGATGCTGATGGCCCAATGATTGTTCTTTTTAAAAAATTACTAACATTTCTGATTTCTAGTAGAATCATTGAATTTATAGAACAGAAGGAGGCCATTGACCAAGGTAGAACTTACGCAGTAATAGGCCCTAAGGAGTGTTGTGGAACAGAGGGACCTAGAAGCACAAGTACATTGTTCGTTGAAAGCAGCATCACAAGTGGACAGGGTGGTGAAGAAGGTATTTAGCATGCTGGCCTACCTTGGTTGAGGCATTGAATATAGGAGTTGGGAAATTAAGTTACAGTTGTATAAGTCGTTGGTGAGGCTGCACTTGGAGTATTGTGTATAGTTGTGGTCACCCTGTTATAGTAAAGACATAGTTAAACTGGAAAGTGTGTAAAGAAGATTTCCAAGGATGTTGCCAGGACTAGTAGGCCTGAGTTTATAGGGAGAGGTTGGCCAGGATAGAACTTTATTCCTTAGAACGTAGGCGAATGAGTGGTGACCTTATTGAGGTGTATAAAGTCATGAGAGGCATAGATAAGACGAATACAAAGTCTTTTTCCCAAGAATGGGGAATTGAAAACGAGAGGGCATAGGTTTAAGGTGAGAGGGGATAGATTTAAGGAGGACCTGAGGGGCACTTCTTCATGCAGACAGTGGTGTGTATATGGAATGGGCTGCTGGAGAAAGTCTTTGAGGCAGGTACAATAGCAACATGTAAAAAACATTTGGATAGATACACGGATGGGAAGGATTTGGAGGGATATGGACCAAATGCAGGCAATTGGAATGAGCTGAGTGGGCATCATGGTCAGCATGGACCAGTTAGGGCTGAAGGGCCTGTGTCCATGCTGTATTACTCAATGACTCTATTCTCCGAACGTATGACCCATCCTATGTCTACCACCCGAAAGAGCTACCAAGCTTGTCATAATCTCCAGCCCTATCTCCATAGCCCTCTAAATTCGTCGGTTTCAAGTATGTATCCAGCTCTCTTTGAATCCTGCTGTGGAATCCACCTCCTCCATTCTCCCAGACAGGGTATGCCAAATTCTAACAACTCTGAGTAAAGAAGTTTCACTCTGCTCACAGCCCTGTGTGCTTTGAATAGAGTGAAAACTAGAAGGGAGGGATTTAAATTGGGAGCTCTTCCAGAAAATAAGCTCAGAACTGGTGATTGATGATAGGTTTGTAGACATTTAACAATAGAAGGTTAAGTTTTGATGCGTGGTTGTAGTGAGTGGTTAAATTGCTCATTTGAGGATTAGAGAGTGACTGAAGGATAGGTGCAAGCATTGGCAAGTTTGAGAACCAGGAGGGAAGTTGAGTTGTTGACATTGATGTAAACTTCCGTTGTAGTAAATTGTTTAGCTTGTAGAGTACGAACAGGGAACATGAAAAAAGAGGATTTAATTCTCTCAATTTTAGCACCTGCCTTTTCAGCTTCCAGTATTCAGTTTGATTGATTTTATTGTCATGTGCACCAAAGTACAGTGAAAAGCTTGATTTACGAGCAGTAGAGGCAAATCACAGCAAGCAAAGGATGCACAGATCAAAAAGACTTGGAGGCATACAGGTTATATTGCAGGTTACGTTATTTGAGACTAGAGTCCATTCAACAGTGTGATAATGGCCAGAAAGAAGCTGTTCCTGAACTGCTTGTGTGTGTTCAGGCTTCTGTATCTTCTGGCTGACGGAAGAGGTTATAGGAGGTCATTACCGGGGTGCGATGGGTCTTTGATGATATTGGTTGCGTTTCCACAGCAGCGAGCCATGTAAATAGAGTCCATGGATGGAAGGTTGGCTTCTGTGATGGTCTGGGCTGTGCACACCCCCTTCTGCAGTTTCTCACAGTCCTGGGCAGAGCAGTTGCCATACCAGGCCATTATGCACCTGGACAGTAAGCTTTCAATGGTGCATCTGTAGAAGTTGATGAGGGACCTTATGGACATGGCAAATTTCCTGAGCCGCCTGATGAAAAAGAGGTGTTGTTGTGACTTCTTGACTGTCGCATCCACGTGGGAAGTCCAGGACGATAACATCGGTTATTGTCACTCCGAGGAACTTGATGCTCTTCACCCTCCCAACCTCAGTTCTGTTGATGCAGATGGGGGCGTGTTCTCCTCCCTTCTTTCTGAAGCCAATGATCAGTTCTTTAGTTTTGCCGATGTTAAGAGACAGATTGTTTTCATTGCATCATGTCACCAAGCCCTCTATCTCCATTCTGTATTTTGACTCCTTGTTAGATATCCGTCCCATCATAGCAGTGTCGTCCACGAACTTGCAGATGGCGTTTAATCAAAATTTGGCAGTATACCCGTATGTGTACAGTAGGGGGCTGAGGACACATCCTTGGGGGGGGCTCCAGTGTTGTATGTAGTAGGGTCGGCATTTTA